AGCTATTCACAACTTTATACAATTATTCAAGATATATGAGCCGTTGAAGAGACTAATCTAGACCAATTATTAGCAACAAGTAGTCAGTCAAATTCACGCATTCCTTTGCTTGTAATATCGACGACTTGTGCATGCAGTGTTGGAGGAACTCGGCGCATGCACGTGAGAACTGTGCTTGCTCGCGGCAAACAGTTTCTCGGCATGCAAGCATCTTCTCTCTTGAGCTCGCAAATGACATTTCTTTTTTTTTCTCTCTTTCTCTGTTTGTTTCTCTTTCTTGCTCTCTCGCTCGCTCGTTCTTTTGTTCTTTCGTTTTCTGTGTCTTTGTCTCTGTCTCTCTGTCTCTCTGTCTCTCTGTCTCTCTCTCTGTCTCTGTCTCTCTGTCTCTGTCTCTGTCTCTGTCTCTCTCTGTCTCTGTCTCTGTCTCTGTCTCTGTCTCTGTCTCTGTCTCTGTCTCTGTCTCTGTCTCTGTCTCTGTCTCTGTCTCTGTCTGTCTGTCTCTCTCTCTCTCTCTCTCTCTCTCTCTCTCTCTCTCTCTCTCTCTCTCTCTCTCTCTCTCTCTCTCTCTCTCTCTCTCTCTCTCTCTCTCTCTCTCTCTCTCTCTCCTTCTCTCTCTCCTCGTCCTCTCTCTCTCCTCCTCTTCTCTCTCTCTTCTCTCTTCTCACTCCACCTTCATCATCCTTATTCCCTCCTTCGTCCCTCTCCCTCCTTTGACCACCCCTGCTTCCGCCCTCCAATCGGCCCTTCATCTCCTCTCATCCTCCTACTTAACACCCTCCCTTGCTCCACCTCTCCCTCCCATCTTCTTCCCTCTTTTCTTTTCTCCTCCCTCCTTTCCTTCCTTCCTCCCTTCCCCTCCTCTCCTTCCCTTCTTCCTCCCTCCTTCCCATCCTCCCTCCCTTTTTCCTTTCCTGCTTCGCCGCCTTCATTACTCATTCCCCTATTTCCTCCATCGTCTTTCTCATTCTCATTCCCCCCCTCTCCTTCCCTCCACTCCTCATCCCCTCCTTCTTCTCCTGACCTCCGACCTTCTCTTTCCTCCCTCCCTCCACGCTCATCCCCCTTCATCCTTTCTCCTCCCTTCGACCTATCCTCATCCCCTACTCCCTCTCTCATCTCTCTCTCTCTCCTTCTCCTTCCCTCCCTCCCTCCTTACCTCCTTCTCTATATCCCTCTGCCTCCTTCCTCCCTTTCCCTATCTTCTTCCCTTCCTTCCCTCCCTCCTTTACCCCCTTCCTTCTACCATCCTTCTCCTTCCCCTCCTTCCCCCTCCCTCTCCTTCTTTCCCCTTCCCTCCCTCCCTCCTTCCCCCTCATCCCCCTCCCCCCTCCCTCCCTCCCCCCCATCCCTCTCCCTCCCTCCTTCCCTCCTTCCCCCCTCCCCCCTCCCCTGCCCCTCCCCCTTCCCCTATCCTCCCTCTCTCCTCCCTCCCTCCCCTCCCCCCTCCCCCTCCCTCCTTGGCAATTAGACAGCGGATGTCTCAGGAGATGCGCGCCTCCCTTTATCGTAACGGTCCCTCCTTCGCGGAACAAGGGGCCCACTGCTCGCTAAATTCCCCGGGACGAAGGAGAGACAGAGGAAAGCCCTTGTTTTAGAGGATTTTTTGGAGGGGGGGGGGGATTTTTATGGAATTTAGTTTTTTTTTCGGGTGGGGGGGGCGTAGGGGGAGGGAGGGGGGAGGGTGGGTTCTGTTCTGTTTCTAGTGATTTTTTTTTGTTGTTTTGTCTGATTATTTTGTCTCGGTCTATTTTTTCTTGTTTGTTTTTTGTGTTACGGTTTAATCTCTCTCTCTCTTTCTCTCTTCTCCATCCCTCTCTCCCCTCCTCTCTCCAACCCCCTCTCTCTCTCTCTCTCTCTCTCTGTCTCTCTGCCTCTCTCTCTCTCTCTCTCTCTCTCTCTCTCTCTCTCTCTCTCTCTCTCTCTCTCTCTCTCTCTCTCTCTCTCTCTCTCTCTCTCTCTCTCTCTCTCTCAATTTCACTCTAACTCTCTCCCTATTCTCTCTCTATCCATTTATCCCTATCTTACTCTCCCTTTCTCACACACACGGAATAAATGAAACAAAAACCACATAACAACTCACCCACCCTATAAATAAAATAAAATAAAAAAACGGAAAATACAATTATACGAACAAAAATATCCCCCTCCCCCTCCCCCCCCCGCCCCCCACCGACCAATGCCCCCGTTGAATAATTTTCTTTCACTGGCAAGATGAATGACTCGGATACGCACCGTTATGGTTATTCTTACGCTCAAGTGGAGTATAGAATTTCATGAATGACATGCACTGCCTGACGATCGGGTCATGAGGAGTCGTCATGTCTTTTTTTTTTTTTTTTTTCTGTTTCTTTGTTTTGGTTATGTCAATTTTGGTCTCTTCTTTTTTTATTTGATTTCTGTTCTTTGTTTTGGTTATGTCAATTATATTTTGGTTATGTCAATTTTCTGGTCTCTCTCTTTTTCATTTATTTATTTATTTTTCTGTTCTTTGTTTTGGTCATGTCAGTTTTCTGGCCTCTCTCTCTTTGTTTTGGTTATGTCAATTTTCTGGCCTCTCTCTTTTTCATTATTTATTTTTCTGTTCTTTGTTTTGGTCATGTCAATTTTCTGGTCTCTCTCTCTCTCTTTTTTTATTTTATTTCTCTATTCTTTGTTTTGTTCTTTGTTGTTTAGTTTGAGTTGTTTTGGTTCGGTTTGGGTGGGTCGAGTTGTTAGTTTTTGGTTAGTTTGGTTGTCGTTTTTGAGTAATTGGTTTGACAAGGTTGTTAATTTGACTTGATTTAATTGTTGTCTTTTATTAATTTGGTTCGGAAGGTTGTTAATTTTGGTTTATTTGGTTGGGTTGAGTTGTTGATTTTGATTATTATTATTTTTTAGGGGGGGGAGGGAAATTGAGATGAGTATGGTTACCGGGAAGGAAGAGAGGGAGAGGGGAGGGAAGGAGGTGATGGGGGAGAGGAAGAAGGGAAAGAAGCAAGAGAGGGAGGGAGGGAGAATTGAGAGATAGCGAGAGGTGATGGAGAAGAGGATGAGGGAAGAAGCAAGAGAGGGAGGAGGAAAAAAGGAGGAGAGGAAAGGAGAGAAGCAAGATAGGATGAGGGAAGAGAGGAGAAAGAGAAAGAAGCAAGAGAGGGAGAGGATGAGGGAAGGAGTGAGAAGAGAGAGAGAAGAGGAAGAAGGGAGAGAAGAAAGAGAGAAAGAATAATAATAAGAGAAGATACTCCATGAGATGACCCTTTTAGAATGAACCGAACTATCAGAATAAACCAAAAAACGACCCAACGATTGAACCAACATACCGATCCCATGAACCAACGCCATCTACGTGAACCGAAATGAACCAACATGGCATAGACGCACCGACATGACCCAGGATAATAAATGGACCCGAATTCAGCCAGTTTGAACCGATACGAACCACTCCAGGACAACACGAACCGCGACGTCTGGGAAGGTCGACCAGTTAGACATGGACGTCATTTCTTCTGAGGAAAAGACAAGGAAAAAACTATTATTTATTTTTTTTTTGTGGGGGGGGGGGAGGGTAGATGAAATACATGATGTGGTTTTTCCCAATTACGTTCAAGAAGGGGAGGAGGAGGAGGAGGTGGATGTGGAGGTGGTGGTGGTGGTGGAGGAGGAGAGGAGGCGGTGGAGGTGGAAGGAAGAAGAAAGGAGAAGGGCAGGGGAGAAGGACAAGGAGGAGGAGGAAATAATAATAATGAATAAATAATAATAAATAATAATTAATAATAATAATAATAAAATGATAATAGAATAATAATAATAATAATAATAATAATAATAATAATAATAATAAGAGATGCAAGACGAGGAGGAGGATGATGATAATGAAAGTGACGTCGATAATGATAGCAATGGTAAAGAAAATAAGTGATAGCGGTAACAGCGATACTAGTAATAAAGGAGGAATAATAACTGATAATATAATCATAAGAAAAACAATGAAAATATGAATAACGGGAATGATAAAAGAAAGAACGAACAAGAAAACGAGAAGTAAATTAAGAGGAACGTGGCTTACAGAGAAGAGAGAAAAAACGAAAGAGACAAAAAGTAATGAGATAATGAAGGGAGCGAAGAAGAACTGGGAGATAAAGAAAGGGAAAATGTAACCGGATAAATTAAATGAAATAAGCAACGGCGAGGAGAATAGGAAGAGGAACACGAGGGAGAGAAGGAGATAGAGAAATAAGTAAATGAAGAAGGCAGACAGAGAGAAAAAGGAAAAAGACAAAAACTGAAGAAGACGGAGGAGAAGCAGAAGAAAGAAAAGTAGGAGAAAAAGGAAGAGTAGTAAGGAGAGAAAAAGGAAAAAAACAAAACAAAGCAAAACAAGAAGAATTATGCGAAAGGAGAAATCGGAATTGGTGCCGACGATTACGAAGAGGAAGAGAAGGAGGAGGAGGAGAAGGCGAGAAGGAGGAAGAGGAAAAAGCGATGAGGAACAACAGAAGCAGGAGTAGGACGAGTGGTTTTAGGAACAGAATCAATGATAGCAGCAGGAACAGAATTTGAAGCAGAAGCAGGAACAGAAGTAGAAGGAAGAGCAGAAGTAGGATCAAGAGTAAAAGCAGGGACAGGATCAGAGGTAAAAGGTAACGGGTAAAAACAGGAGTAGACTCAACCAGGATCAGGATCAGGAGTAGCAGGAGTAGAATTAAAGGGTAAAAACAGGATCAGGAGCAAAAGCAGGAGTAGGAGCAGGGGTAAAAGCAGGAGCAGGAATAGGAATAGCAGGAGTAGACTCAAGGGTAGAGCAGGAGTAGGATCAGGGGTAACAGCAGGAGTAGGATCAGGAGCAAAAGCAGGAGTAGGAGCAGGGGTAACAGCAGGAGCAGGAAATAGGAGCAGAGTAGACTCAAGGGTAAGAGCAGGAGTAGGATCAGGGTAACAGCAGGAGTAGGATCAGGAGCAAAAAGCAGAAGTAGGAGCAGGGGTAACAGCAGGAGCAGGAATAGGAAATAGCAGGAGTAGACTCAGGGTAGATCAGGAGGAGGATCAGGGGTAACAGCAGGAGTAGGATCAGGAGCAAAAGCAGAAGTAGGAGCAGGGGTAACAGCAGGAGCAGGAATAGGAATAGCAGGAGTAGACTCAGGAGTAGGATCAGGGGTAACAGCAGGAGTAGGATCAGGAGCAAAAGCAGAAGTAGGAGCAGGGGTAAGCAGGAGGAGCAGGAATAGGAAGCAGGAGTAGAAGGGTAGAGCAGGAGTAGGATCAGGGGTAACAGCAGGAGTAGGATCAAGGAGCAAAAGCAGAAGTAGGAGCAAATAGCAGGAGCAGGAATAGGATAGCAGGAGTAGACTCAAGGGTAGAACAGGAGTAGGATCAGGGGTAACAGCAGGAGTAGGATCAGGAGCAAAAGCAGAAGTAGGAGCAGGGGTAACAGCAGGAGCAGGAATAGGAATAGCAGGAGTAGACTCAAGGGTAGATCAGGAGTAGGATCAGGGGTAACAGAGGAGTAGGGGCAAGGAGCAAAAGCAGAGTAGGAGCAGGGGTAACAGCAGGAGCAGGAATAGGAATAGCAGGCGTAGACTCAAGGGTAGATCAGGAGTAGACTCAGGAGCAAAAGCAGGAGTAGGAGCAGGGGTAACAGCAGGAGCAGGAATAGGAATAGCAGTAGACTCAGGGTTAAGCAGGAGGAAGATCAGAGTTAAAACCAGGATCAGGAGGAGGAATAGCAGGAGTAGGATCAGGGGTAACAGCAGTAGCAGGAATAGCAATAGCAGTAGACTCAGGGTTAAGCAGGAGGAGGATCAGAGTTAAAACCAGGATCAGGAGTAGGAATAGCAGGAGGAGGATCAGGGGTAAAAGCAGGAGCAGGAGCGATCGGGCACAGCTTGAGGTCGACCTGCGAAGGCTCGAGGAAACAGACGCCAAGAACGTTAATTGTCCGCCCGAGGGAGCGCTGGGGCCTAGGGGGAGGGGAGCGGGAGGGGGGGGAGGGTGCATACGGCAT